ATTAGCTCTGACATCCCATCGTAGAAACACAGAGGATAGTAGAAGCTTAGGTTGAATAGAGCAACCAAGCTTTTAACAATTCGAAACAAATTAAAAAGATGGCTATATCGCTGTCCAGGGTTTCTAATAACAGCAAATATTTGAGCATAGAATATAAAACTATTGATAGTACCAGTGGTTAGTGTTAGCTTGAGAGCATACAGCAAATAGACTAGCAGAGGACCAGCAACTGCATATACTATCAGTGTTAATAGCCACCAGTTACTGCACTGCTGGCATTCAGATGAACCAAACACTGCACTGTAGCCAGTGATACACTGTGAACACAAAGGCCCTTCTCTATTTTCGATGCAGATGTTAATGCTGTCACTAATATTGCTGGAGTTAGCTAATGTTATTTCACTCCCATTAACAGCAAAAGTTGTATACTTAGGATTAAAACTGCAGTAGATGGGACAAGATGACGAAACACCAAAATAAGAACTGTTAGTACCATTACTAATAAAACCAATCCAAACTGTTATCAAATTTGATGGTTTAGAAATGCTTATTACTGGAAAAGAGTTTTGTTTTACATAAAATGTAATCTTACAAGAAGGAGTATAATCGAGCTTATTCAAAACAGGTGAACACTTACATATTCCAATATGAGAATCAAATTGAAAACCAATAGGACAGTCCTTCAAGTGAAGTTGATATTTTATTTGGTGTAGGTCTGCTGACAGAGTTGTTGTGTCATGGTAAAAATTGTCCTCAACGCTGAGAAATGGTGTTGAAGGGTTTTTCATGCTACCTCTTTTGTAGAATGCTACTTTAATTATCGTGCATGATTTCTGTGGCAAAAGAGTTTCCTTAATAGTTGAAATATTCCAAGAAATAATTGGAATTTCGTAAGTTTTTTTTAAGTCATAGATTCTTAAATTTACTTCACCATAAGTGTTTTGTCCAAATCCGTCCACAGCAGCAATTGGTATGTGCACTATCACCCCAGGATATACTATCATTCTTTCATTATGGGAGTTACATTGACCTTGAGAGCATTTACAAAGTCTTGACGGTATAGCAGATAGGTCTAATGCATGGTCTAAAGTACCATTTGATATTACATTCAAATACTTTTTAGCTTCTGAAGAATTGTAAATCTGTTGATCAAATTGCATAAAGCAATCAATCATGTTAGTACTAGTAATGGCATTGGCCGATCTAGCCATGTTATTAACAAAGAGCATGCTGACATTAAGTTTAGAATCTGTGGCTTGAAGAAGGCAGGAGCATTGATTTATTTCTACACAAAGTGGGTTATAGCCGTATATTACACCTCCCTGAAGTAATGCTACATTCCAAATAAATTCTGCTCTAAGCCCATTACAAAGATGAATCATGCTGGCTCCTTGTAATCTAAAGACTGCTCCAGTTCCTCCTTTATTTCTTGCAAAGTGCAAGCTACCGTCTAAAATGACATCTGTGTTAGTAATATTGAAAACTGAACCAGTGTTTTTAATAAAATTGCTCAATCCTGTTATATAGAGCTTGTAAATGTTCGATAATGTAATAATGCTGAATCCATTATCAATGTCATTGTGATAAAAAGAAGACAATAATGCAGTGTTTTTGTATACAGAAACGTTTTGTAGAATAATCTGTAATCGTTTTGTTTTAGCTCTATTATTGTGATCCTTCGTACTAGCCCACATACAAGTCGACTTGACAGCTTTGTTCAAAGAAAAAGTTACATTGTTAAAGCTAATATTAATCACAACATTAGGAGGATTAACAGAGCCAATAAAGACTACTGCTTTCATTTTGTTGAAGGTATCAAAACCAAAACCATTTTTTGTAAAAGTACTCTTAATAACAGTAAGTTTTTGAACTTCAGCTTTTGTTTCATATTTCGTTGTCATTTGATTGTCAAAGACCTCAAAAAACGACAAAGATACTCCTAGACAATCAAATAAAACAGCAACATTACTGCTGAACAAAGTGTTTGATATTGTTGTTTGAATTTTAGCCATGGTGTTGTAATGATAGATTAATACTGCTCCCAAACCATGGTTAAAATAAAAATGAGAATTCTCTACATCAAATTTGACCGAAAACATTTTTTGAGTGTAAACAGCAGTCAAACCAGCTGCATGAATGACTGGTAGGGGACCATTTATTTGATGATTATTAGGAGGACATTGGTGATAATCCAGTCTACCATCATTGTTGTGAACAGTGGCTTCGTACATAAAAATATTGTGAGATAAATTTGTTCTATTTTTCATATCAGCAAAAAGAAATAATATTCCACTACCACCTTGATTGTATGTAGCTATTTTGTTAGCTACTTCAATGGTATGAATCAGTGCATCATTCAGATTAATTGCCAATATAGCAAAGCCATGATAAGAAGTAAAGTTCACCTCCTTGGCACATAGTATACGAATGTGCAGAAACACTACGGCTGCAATTGTTTGTTGAGGGAAATATAATGGAGATTTGGTAGCTGAATCTATATCTAATCCATTCAAATACCCACCACAACCACTCCATACTAACCTGTGTAGAGTCAAGTTGTGTATGTTAATGAAAGCAAATCCAGTAGTAGGTTGAGTGGAGCCATTATTACTGCAGCTAATGACAGCTTGTTGTAGTGATGAATCACTGATAAGAGTCAGCGAGTAGGTAGTATTGATTATACAGAATGATACATTATCAATGATATGAGTAATGTTAGAAGACAACACTACAATTGTATCTTCAGTTAAAGGACGGCTTTCACATAAAAACTTCTCTAAATTGCTACTGCTAGTGATGTTGATTTGGTAAGTTGTTGCAGTTGATAAAACGATCAGCAAAGAATAAAAGACTTGTGTCAAAAAACTCATGCTCTCTTCAATAGAATTAGCAATGCTATAAAGTAAAAAGTATATATGTTTATATAGTGAAGGCATGCTTGCAAATGACACTTATAACTTTCAGTTCAATTTCATGTATATTGATCAAAACATTCATTAGTGTACAAGTGTAATAAGCATAACTTTCACTGTTTGTACTTAGTCAGTTTTAATTTCACTATTCTAAGAGAACACATAACTGATCAAAATGTCACAACTGTTTATTTAAGTCTACTTCTTGTACATTGTGTAATAATAACTGTTACAATAAAAACTAACAACTATATATATACTACATCAAATATAGTGTAATTGAAACACACGGTACTTTAAAGCAAGTAACTATCAACTCAAAAGTGGTTCCCTAAAGTCAGAGAATGATTCATAAAAACTTCCATTTCTTGAACACCTTTTTACTCGATGATTAAACCACTTGTTGAAAGGAACAAAAAGGTCAGCAAGTTTTTTTCGTATCCAAAG